TTAAGCTGTATTGTTTGTCCAGAACTGCTTTTAGTGTCTCACACAGTTATTCTGGTTTAAAATGCAGAACTATTAAATACACAGAGTAAAGTGTACAGCCCTTCAGTATCTTGTTTTTGCAGTAACATAATCTCTGCTTCTGCAACTAAATCTTTCAAGCATGCCAGTGTTCTGGAATGCAGCTCTGCTCCTTAATTCCAGGGATGGAGCAGTTACAAGTGCTAACCCCCCAGGCTACCTAAGTGTGAGACAAACTTGTAATTTCAGTGACATATGCAGGAGGATTCCTTCTGAGCCTGGGTTTCTGGAATAGCAAAGTGACATTCCACTGCTGCTTTGAGGCACCTTGATGACTTTGACTTGTTCTAGCACATTTGCTTGGTTTGTGTGCGTTACCTCAGGCTTTCTCTGTTTTGTCACACATAAATTTTCTCTTTTGCCAAACCTACAGAAGTAAAAAAAATCATTATATTGAAAAATCAAAAAGAGCTCTGGCTGCCCAGATGGATCCTGGGTAAGCCCAGAAATGACAAATAAAGGCTCTGTGCACACAACCAGCATAGGAAATAGGAGGAAGATTTCTCTTTGGAGAAACTGACTGGAGAGCTCTGGGAAAGTTGGAATTTTACAGCTGCTGCATCCCCTTCTCTTCTCTTCCCCTCCCTCAGACTGACCCCGGGGCTGGAGGAGCTCTTAGACTGCTCCAAGTCTTGAAAACTCAGTCCTCTGCCTCACTGAAGTGTAAGAAACGCTTCAGAAAATAAAAATTATCTCCAAAATATTCTCTGTCAGCAAATACCATCAGCAAGGACAGTTTAATTTGACCTTGATGTGTATCTGTGGACCTGAATATCCCTTAACAGATGTACAGGAGAATTCAAAGGAGTTAGTTGTGTAGAATTTCCTAGATTTCTAAAATACTTGTAATACTCATAGATAGTTTAGCAGTAAAACTATTTACTGAAAATTTCACCAGATTTTCTTGATACTTGTAATAATGAAAGTATCCTAAATCAGGAAAAAAAAAATGCAGATTTTGCATAATGATTTGTTTCAAAGCTCAAATGCCCCCAGCAGCAGTAGCACCCCACAGGGGAGGCAGATTGCTGTGACCGCTGCTTTCTCCTGTTAAATCCATGTACAGCAGCCCCAAAACTCAGGATTCCCTCAGGAGGAGCTTTTCTCTGAATGATCTTTCATATGCATTCTCTAAGTGTAAACAACATAAAAATAATGAACCTCCCAGACTCAAAGCTATTTTAAACTATGAATCTTTTAATGTGGGAGAAATTACTCTGTTTAAAGAAACCTGATTTTCGGCCATTCCTATTTTGGGATTATTATCCAACATATATGTACTCTATTTCCAGTGAAAACAAATAGTCTCATGATATAAAAATAGGCAACTAAATGAAATGCAGGCTGTTATAGCGTGGGAAATGTTTGTGGAACATGCATTCTGGGTTTGATTACTTTTAGATGTTTTAGGGGAAAATTATTCAAAGCAGCGCTTTTAAGATTAAAGCCAAAATACATGGAGCAGACCTACTGCAAATGTGTAAGGGAAGTGAAAAAGCTCTCCAGAGAACTAAAAATTTAACAAAATATATAAATACATATGTAGGAACCCAGTAGACGTCCTGACATACTTAAATGCACCCTTCAAAAGTCAATGGCAAACAGCGAAGGAAAACGATTGTAGGAGTTGCTTAAAATGCATTGTAAACTGGGAAAAGCACACTAAAATAAGGCACACAATCACACCTCACTGCCATGGATAATCCCCATGGAAGCTCACAGCACTTCATGTGTTTAGAAGAGCGTGAGTAAAACTGAAGTTTCACATTAAAATTTAGTGTAATATGCTAGCTGCAAACATAATAATGAAACCAAATATTTTGCATCCAGCTACTTTTTAAGGTAAGAATCAGCTACAGTTTCAGGAATAGCCTTTGCTGTTATTCCATAATCCTTGGGGACTACAATTCACTGTGTTTAAAAAAACCACTGAGGTGACAAAAATCCATGCATTCAGTACAAGCTTCCAACACGGCTGCGAGCAGAGGCTGTGCTCGATGCCCTGCTGACATCTAACGGCAGCTCGGTGCACGACAGAAAAATCCCCCTGATAGAGCACACCTGGGGAATAAACACCCCGAGTGTGGAGTGTTGCCTTCAGTATCTGCTGATGCACCTCAACACACCTGATTGGTGTTGGTGGTGAGGACTCTGACTGACTCCTCACCAGACACACTGGAATTCAAGGAAAGGTTAAATAAACCAGGCTTCACTACAGAGCAGTACCAAGGAGTTCCTCCTGCCAGAGCTCCCATCTTTGAAATGACACTGACTTATGGAAATAATGAAGTCAAAATCCAATGAAATGTTCCTCTTCATAAATAAGACCTTGAGATTAATAAATCAATTTGCAAGTCCACCGTTTTCCTCTAGGCAGGCAGAAATCAAGTTCTTAATTTCCTTTAGTTATTGAACCAAAAACTAGGACAGAAGATATTCCCATTATTATTTAGCAAAGGAGAGGACAGGGAAAGGGGAAGGGAAGCAGAAGGGGAAGGGAAGCTCTGCCTCTGGTCCATGCCCTAGAAATGCCCTGTGGAAGGGCACCTGGTGGCATCAGATGGCAGCAATGCCTCACAGGACAGCGTCCTTGCCCACCCCACCAGGGGCTTGTCCAACTTTCTTGGCAAACAGCCACAGAATAAAACTAATTGAATGCAGGCCCATCTACAGTTAGAGAGAAGTTTTCTCTACTTTAAGTAAAAAGCCAACATAAATTTGTACATTGCTTCACTGCGTGCTGCTGAGCTATTGCTGAACCAGGGCTCCCAGCTTTGGGAGGAGAAAGGTCTTAATTACTTATTTTTTACTTTAGAGAGAGGAAATGAATAGGTGCTTCTTCTTCCTTGGTGAAACAAGGTAAACCCATGCTGTACATCTCTTAATGAGCAATTTGTATCAATTTTCAAAGCACATATAGAATCATAGAACCATTACCTTATTATTGGCACCAGCTCAGATTTTTCTAATGGCAAATTTGCTGTGGAGGCCAGGGGTTCCTCACAGCTTATCTGCTCTTTCCACAGAGCCTGTCCCTCCCGTTTCCAGCACATCCTTCCTTATGGATGCTGATGCACTCTAAACCAGCCTATTTGCCAGAAGATCCTAAGGTCAACCAGCCCATGGAATCTCACAGATTCTCATTCAATTACAGCAGCGTGGTATTAACAACCCACGGTCAAATATCACATTGCACTGTACGTTTCCTCGTGGCATTTGCGAGCTGCCTGCAGGTGACAACTTCAGCACAGAATGATTATTTATCAGCTCTCATTTAGACAGTTCACAGGTTCTCCCTTCCTTTCGCCTATGTGCAAAATTAGCCCCATGTGTTACATACAGAGCATAGGTAAACTCACAAAGTTGTAGACAACAGGACAAAAAGGTTGAGGAATTGCTAATAAGAGAACAGCAGGTGTCAGCACATGTAAATGTATTAATAGCAAACACATAAGTAAAGATAATGGACAGAAGGACTTTCAAAAAGGTCACTTGGGGACCTCGAGCCAGATTTAGGCTTTAGTTTCACGTACTGCTCATCTGGATGAGTCTGAAATCAACTGGCACAAGTGTGGCAGGAGGAGTTCACAGCAGCAATAGGCAGCGTGTTCAAGAGGGGTCTTACACTCACTGGAGAAAGTGCTGGTCGTCCTCCACTGCTGTTCTTGGAGAACGTGGAGACATCAAGAACCACAACTACATTTACTATTCAGTTCCACTCCTACCTCTGCCTCAGCCTATTGTGCTACCAAACCAAAATCTTTGCTCCTCTGGTACGTAATGGACAACATATAATGGACACCACAATGGCTGTCCATTTAGGCTCTTCCAAGGAAGAGTTTGACACAAAATTACATCAACACTGAAAATAAATATATTTTAGTAGTGTAATACCATTTTTGCTCATAGGCTGCAATGTGTTTTATGAAGAAGAAGCAATTGCATTCTCTCAGTATGCAGTGTAACGTGATAGATGCACGTTTGCACGTGCCCACTAATTACCAATATCCCATAGAGAAATAAAGGTTAAAGAACAGCCAGGAATTATTTATGGACTTCATAACTCACACTAATATAAAATTCAATTGGAACTCTTGTCAAATTTAACAATCTGCTTTACAGTCTGGTATGCAATGCCCGTATGTGTATGACGTACTTTTGGACAGACTTTATCTCTGTGGATGGGCCTCGTAGGAAAGCAGCAGAAATCCCCAAAAGGGATGAAAGACCCCAACTCTTCCCGTGAGAGTAACAGCGCGTGGGGAAGAAAAGCAATAAAACCTCACCGAACATTAAAGGACACACGAGGCCGGGGCAGCGGGGACTCCCCTCGCTGCTCCCCTCACGAGGGGCTCGCTCACCTCAGGCGACGCTGCCGGGCCGGTCGCTCACTGCGGGCCTTCCTCTCGCGTCCTCCCTGCCTTCCCCGCCCTGCCTGCAGCCTGGGCCGCCCTCCCTGCGCTGCCCCGAGCTCGCTCCGGGGGTCTCTCGGGGGTCTCTCGGGGGTCTCTCGGGGGTCTCTCCGGGTCTCTCCGGGTCGCTCCGGGTCGCTCCGGGTCTCTCGGGGTCTCTCCGGGTCTCTCGGGGGTCTCTCCGGGTCTCTCCGGGTCTCTCCGGGTCTCTCCGGGTCGCTCCGGGTCGCTCCGGGTCGCTCCGTGGCCGCTCCATGGCCGCTCCCTCACGCCCTCAGCGGCCGTGGCGCCCCCTGGCGGCGGGGCCGGGCGCGCGCGGGCGGGGCGGGGCGGGCGCGCGCGGCGGCGTTGGGGCGGCGCTGAGGGAGCGCTGAGGGAGCGCTGAGGGGCGGCCGGGACGGCGGCGCTGCCTCTGCTGCCGCTGCTGCCGCTGCTGCCTCTGCTGCCGCTGCTCGTGGTGCTGCTGGCGGTGGGACAGCGCCGAGGCGGCTCGGAGGGGACTCGGCGGCCATGGCAGACCAAGAAGCGGGGTGCCCGCCCAAGTCCCGGCGGCCTCAAGGTAACGGCCGCAGGGGGAGCGGGCAGGGGCTGTCCCCAAACGGCCCCGCAGCGGCCGCTCCTCGCGGGGCGACTTGGGCTCTTTCTCCGCCTTGTTTCGCTTTTAATCGTTCCTTCATTGAGTCGCGAGCTAAGTTTGAAGGATGCTTCGCCAAAGTTAAGCCCGCGGGAGGAGCGAGGAGCGGTTTGTCTTCGGTTCCCGGGGAGCCTCCGCTTCCCTGAGTCCCGGCTGCCGAGGGGTCAGCGGCGGCCCCGGGGCGACTGAATCCGCTGACCCGGATAACGGGGGATGCTGAGCCCCCAGCCCCGGATAACGGGGATGCTGAGCCCCCAGCCCCGGATAACGGGG